TAAAATCCTACTTTTGCATATTTTGTTCAATTGGGCATTTGGTTTTTTTGTATTGTTTCTGTTAGGAATGGGTTTCTGGTTGTTTATGTGATGACTCTGCTATGAAATTAGAATGGATTTATCTTTTAATGTTGATTCATTTCCACATTGCTTGTGGTGTACATTAATTATTTTTATTCATTGGGTAGCTGTGGAAGAAAATGAGAGAGAGTAGGACCCAAGGGTGTGGACGAGTGGTCAATGAAGTGATAGGAGAAGGATGAGGTCTTAGGTTCAAATCTCAGCGGAGGAAAAACAAACGCTAGGTGATTGCTTCCTATCTGCCCAAGCCTTGGTGGTCAGAGTTACTTGGTGCACGTGCTGGTAGGAGATAGTAGATACCGGTGGAATTAGTCGAAGTACCCTTAAGCTGGTGCAGATAGCCAGATACCATCGTCATCGAAAAAAGGAAAACAAGAAAACGAGATAATAAGGGGTGGGGAAAGAACCACCCCATGAGTATTCATGCCATGAATATGTTTTTAATATAATTTGTAGCTAGGTTGGACTGAGGGCTAAAGAGAATCCTTTATTTGTTTAAAAGATAAATTATTGGATACCTGAATGAATTGAACCCAAATAGAGCAAAATGTAGAGGATTCATACAGCCGACCTTAACCAGGTTGAGAGCGAGACATAGTTGTTGTTGTTCTTCAGCTGAGGGCTAAAGAGGCACAAGTCAAAGTCATAGTATCTGGAATTCAGATCTCAATGGTTTCGTCACTCTGGTATCCAGTTTGGCCTTCCCCATCTCTGTCCTAAGAGTAGTTGGACCATCAAAAGACTATTCTTATCTTCTAAAGTTACTTAAATAGCATCATCCACCATTGAGTAACGATTTACTTGCTAGCACTTTGTCGCTTTTACACTATATTTGGTTGAAGCCGGAAAAGGAGAAGGGTAAAAGGAGGGAGCTAAATGATTTACTTTCCCTGAGGATAACACTTATCCTATTCCTCAAGGTGTATGGAAATATGGAGTTCTACTTCCTCCTTTCCTCTTCTTTCACTTCCTAACAAAACAAGCAATATTTCCTTTAGCCTATCTCTTTTATTTTCTGTCGTATTGCTACTCTTCTTTCACCCTATCCGAACATACTAAAAATCTTTAT